CTTGATTCCCTCATCTATAAGATGAGGATAATAATAAAATATGCCTTGGGTAGGGCCTGCTAGTTGACCCCAATATACATTCTCTTCCTTTATAATAGAAACCTTCCAACTTCACCTTGAAACTTGGCTCCCAGCCAAGGACGTCATTTCCCAGCTTCTTTGCAGTCCCTTGCAGCAGCAGGCATAGAAACAGAAGTGACATATCTAACTCTTTCTATGGCAAAAGGCAGCAAAACAGAAATGGCATATCTAACTACCTGTATGTGGCCTTTTTCTTCCTTCAAGTTCCTGGAACATGGAAGTGATATCAAGTCATCTTGGACCATCCAGATGAGAACCACAGCTTAGGGATTACAAGGTAATAAAATGGAAAGAAGACAAGAAATAACCAAAATCAGAGCTGAACAGAGGGAGACTGAGACACAAGAAACGTTTCAAAAGATCAAGGGATCCAGACGCTGGTTTTTTTGAAAACATTAATAAAATAGCAAGAATGCTAGCTAGACTAATAAAGAATAAAGGAGAGAAAATCCAAATAAAGACAATCAGAAACAACAGGAAGGATATTACTACAGACCCCACAGAAATACAAACAACCATCAGAGAATGTTATGAACACTTATAAACTAGAAAATCTAAAAGAAATAAATTTCTGGACTCCCTAAACTGAACCAGGAAGAAATTAAATCCCTGACCAGACTAATAATGAGCTCTGAAATTCAATCAGTAATAAATAACCTACTAACCAAGAAAAGCCCAGAACCAGATGGATTCACAACTGAGTTCTAGCAGAAGCACAAAGAGCTGGTACCATTCCTACTGAAGCTATTTCAAAAAAAAAAAAAAATGAGGAAGAAGGAATCCTCCCTAATTCATTCTATGAGGCCAGCATCATCCTGCTACCAAAACCTTGCAGAAGCACAACAACAACAAAAAAACTTCAGACCAATATTCTTGATAAACATAAATGTAAAACTCCTCAGCAAATTATTGGCAAATTGAATTCAGCAGCACACCAAAAACCTTATGCAACACCATCAAGTAGGCTTTATCACTGGGATGCAAGGTTGGTTCAATATATGCAAATCAATACATTTGATTCATCATATAAACAGAACTAAAGACAAAAACCATATAATTATCTCAATAGATGTAGAAAAAGCTTTTAGTAAAATTCAACACTCCTTCATGTTAAAAACTCTTAATAAACTAGGCATTGAAGGAATATACTTCAAAATAATAAGAGCCATCTATAACTAACCTATAGCCAACATCATACTGAGGGCAAAAGCTGGAAGCATTCCCTTTGAAAACTGGAACAAGACAAGGATGCCCTCTCTCACTACTCCTATTCAACATAGTATTGGAAGTCCTGATCAGAACAAACAGACAAAAGAAAGAAATAAAGGGCATCCAAATAGGAAGAAAGGAAGTCAAACTATCCCTATCTACAGATGACATGATCCTATATCTAGAAAACTCCATGATATAAAAGGAGCCCAAAAGCTCCTTAAGCCAATAAAACAACTTCAGCAAAATCTCAGGATACAAAACTAATGTGCAAAAATCACTAACACTCCTATCTGCCAACAACAGTCAAGCTGAAAGCCAAATCGGGAATATAATCTCACTCACAACTGCCATACATGCACACAAAATAAAATACTTAGAAATACCAGCTAACCGGCTGGGTGCTGTGGCTCAAGCCTGTAATGTCAGCACTTTGGGAGGCCGAGGAGGGTGGATCATAAGGTTAAGAAATCAAGACCATCCTGGTCAACATGGTGAAACCCCGTCTCTACTAAAAATACAAAAAATTAGCTGGGCATGGTGGTGCGTGCCTGTAATCCCAGCTAGTCGGGAGGCTGAGGCAGGAGGATTGCCCAAACCCAGGAGGCAGAGGTTGCGGTGAGCCGAGATCGCGCCATTGCACTCCAGCCTGGGTAACAAGAGCAAAACTCCATCTCAAAAAAAAAAAAAAAAAAAAAAAAGAACTACCAGCTAACCAAAAAGGTGAAAGATCTCTCCAAGGAGGACTATAAAACACTACTCACAGAAATCAGAGATGGCATAAACAAATGGAAAAACATTCCACGCTCATGAATATGAAGAATCAATACCCTTAAAATGACCATACCACCCAAAGCAATTTATAGATTCAATGCTATTCCTATTAAACTACCAATGACATTATTCACAGAACCAGAAAAAAAAAAGATATTTTAAATTCATATGGAGCCAAAAAAGAGCCTGAATAGCCAAAGAAATCCTACACAAAAAGAAATAAGCTGGAGGCATCATGTTACCCAACTTCAAACTATACTACAGGGCTACCATAACCAAAACAGCGTGGTACTGGTACAGAAACAGACACGCACACAAATGGAACAAAATAGAAACCCCAGAAATAAGACCACACACCTAAAACTATCTGGTCTTTGAGAAAGCTGACTAAAACAAGCAAAGGGGAAAGGACTTCCTATTTAATAAATGGTGCTGGGATAACTGGCTAGCCATACACAGGAGGCTGAAACTGAACCCCTTTCTTACACCATATACAGAAATCAACTCAAGATGAATTAAAGACTTAAATGTAAAACCCAAAACTATAAAAATCCTGAAAGATAAACTCGGCAATACCATTTTGAACACAGGATGCCAAAAGCAATTATAACAAAAGCAAAAATTGACAAATGGGATCTAATTAAACTTAAAAAAAAATTTCAAATCAAAAGAAACTATCAGCAGTGTAAACAGACAACCTACAGAATGGGAGAAAATTTTTGCAGACTATGCATCTGACAAAGCTCCAGTATCCAGCATCTATAAGGAATTTAAACAAATTTACAAGAATAAAACAAAAAACCCTGTTAAAAAGTGGGAAAAGGACATGAACAGACACTTCTCAAAAAAGAATATCATGCAGCCAACAGTCATGAACAAAAAGCTCAACATAACTGATTATTAGAGAAGTGCAAATCAAAACCACAGAGAGATACCATCTTACACCAGTCAGAATGGGTATTATTAAAAAATAAAATAGGTGCTGGTGAAGTTGTGGAGAAAAAAGAACACTTACATGCAGTTGGTAGAGGCGTAAATGAGTTCAACTGCAGAAAACAGTGTGGTGATTACTCAAAGATCTAAAATCAGAAATACAATTCGACCCAGCAATCCCATTAGGGGATAAATACCCGAAGGAATATAAACTGTTCTACTATAAAGACATATACATGCATATGCTCATTGCAGCACTATTCACAATAGTAAAGATATGGAATCAATCTAAATGCCCATCATTGGTAGACTGCATAAAGAAAATGTGGTAGATATACACCATGGAATACTATGTCGCCATAATACAATGAGATCATGTCCTTTGCAGAAACAGAAATGGAGCTCGAGGCTATTATCCTTAGCAAACTAATGCAGGAATAGAAAACCAAATACCACATGTTCTCACTTATACATGGGAGCTAAATGATGAGAACACATGGACACATAAAGGAGAACACATACACTGGGCCTATTGGAGGGTAGAAGGTGGGAAGAGAGAGAGGATCAGGAAAAATAACTAATGGGTACTAGGCTTAAGACCTGGGTGATGAAAAAGTTGGTACAACAAACCCCCATGACACAAGTTTGTCTATATAACGAACCTGAACATGTACCCCTGAACTTAAAATAAAAGTACATTTTTAAAAAAAGGAAAAACACCAAAACTTGTGTAAGCCACTGTTACTGTGAACTTCATTACATTAACTGAATGCATATCATACTATACCACACTAAAGAAGTATGAAAATAAAGAAGGTAATGTACATAAAGTGCTTGGTATCTAAAAGAATGGCAGCTGGTACTGTTATGGATAGCCCTACATCCCAGCACCTAGCTGCA